TTTCGTATCTTTATACGTTTAACAGATGAATGAAAATGAGCGCTGTCAGATTATTTTATTGGCTAAATTAATCTATCTCGTTATTGCATGCAGATGAAGCGAGTTTTTTCCAATCTTAAACAAAAAATAAAGTACTTACAATACTACAATTACTAACTCTCATTTTATGGCTGGTAAATACTAGCTATCTTAACGAGGAAATAAATGTTCATTATGGTTGAGGGATTTTAAAAATTATTCATAATGAATGATTCTAACGATAATGATGTAATTATAAAATGATAATGATGAATAAAATGCTGGCAGAAAATCGATCGTATTATAAAAAACATGAAAAGCGTTTGATGCTGTTATTGGCTGAAGATCGATAAGATATGACGTTTCTGTAAGTATATATGTCATCGTCAGCGTTTTCTGCACGTATTGAAGCTCTCCTAATTAGGTAACTTCGTAATGACGTTGGCGATAGCTTTTAAGAAATTATTTTAAAATTTATTTATGATAAGTTAAGTTTTTCTGTCTGGCAATAGGTTTCATTTTAATATTATTATAACAAAGTAAATTATAATAAGCTGTACGTGTGTGTCGTACTTTTACTTCTTCAGTATCGTTCCATAGAAACTTATTAAGGTCCCAAGAATATTATATTTTAAATTTAGAATTACTAAAAATGTAACACTTTCACTAAAAAAAGCAATTTTTTTTATAACAATTTTAACTAATTAATAAAAATTAAACTGCTGAAAAATTATTCAGGTGCATGTAGTACGTACTTATACACAGACACTGATATGTGAAATCTATCATCGAACATACACCATATTCAAACACATACACATACAAAAACACAGACAACATACATTTCAACACTGCACACACACACACACATATATGGACACACTAATACAAACAATGAAGATATATAGGCATGTGTAATGTACATATAGTAAGGTGTGAATTTTTCAACCACCAAGCAAATCTGATGCTTTCAAGCGATTAGCTACGAACGTATCTAGAAGTAGTTTTTAATATTTATTCAAGAAAATCCAGGCCTATGTTAGTTCGTTTTGCATCAGCTGATACTCACAATCGTTTGAACGTTTACCACACCACAACACGCCACATAACGCCACACTAAACCACACCACACCACAACACGCCACATAACGCCACACTAAACCACACCACACCACAACACGCCACATAACGCCACACTAAACCACACTACACTACACATGTAATGCAAGCATTGATCAATTTCCAACAACGAGCATCTGCATGTTGATAATTCGACGGAAGGAATCATCTGCATGATATCAGGTTACGCGCTCTTGGTGTTGGTTCCGCTGCTTACATTAAGTAGGTGGGTGGGGAAGAAAGAAATCAAATTTTTTATGCTGCTGCTGATGCTGTTATTAATTGATGGAACAAGAAATCTACTTTTTATTTTATAATGAATTTTTTTGTTTACCGATAAAAAATGTATTTTTTAAAATTGTAATTGAAGTGAAATTCTATATATTAGTTAATATTTTACATTTAATCGCACAGATCACGAATGATATGCGTGGTTACGTAGGTGTAACATCATAAACTATTTTGTAAGTAGTTTCGCCAGCAGAACTCTTTAAATGTTTTACAAACATTATTAACAAAAGCTCTAGATTGAAAACAACTGGCTTATGGCATTAACAACATTACTAAGGACAATACGTAAGTTGGTTGTTGGTTGACTGATTGTGAATAGATATAACACGAATCTATATGCGAACATCAATAATACCACATCAATAATATTAAAGCAAATATATCAAGATCTAGATAAATATATCAATATATAGATACACGAAGCTTGCTTGTGAGTAAGTGTGAGTGCAATACATTGCTTACGTGCATATGTGCAGCGTATATTAATTACATATTACACTAAAGCAGAAACACTAAGTCACTCGTGAGATATATTTATGGAATCTATCGCACTCGCTTAATTGGTTATTGAATATACATTTGCCGAAACAATAACCCACCCAATTAAAAATCTGTTAGTGATGTTACGGCTGTCTTTATGGTAGTGCTCTTGCTGCGGCGATATTGTTAATGTTATACTGTTGATGTGATGTCGTTGATGTGATGCTGCTGCTAGATTGCTGTTTTTGCTACATTAACATTGCTACTATTGTTATTGAAATAGTGGAAATGATGAGGTGCTGCCTTGAAGAATGATGAAAATGGCGAGAATGTTGACCGTGATTCCATATTTATCTTTCCATATTATCAATCGCGTTCATAACTATGGAAAATGCAAAAAATAACTCTTGAAATGATTGAAAAATGTCCGAAATTATTATTTAACGTTGAAAATGATCTCTAAAAAGAAACCCCAACAAAATATTTTCAAAAGTTGGAAAATGTAAAAGAGATTTATGAAACCAGGAAATAATCTCTTGAATAATTTTATAAAAAGTTATTAGAACCATCGTGGAAACAAATGAAACTAATCTGTCTGAGGCGTGTAGGAACTGCAGATGAGAATAAGCTGACTCAAGAAGAAAACATCTGTCAACAGCCACACGTCGGCAGATGGCTTAATTTCTAAGTGGAATGTCCGCTAAATTAAATTTTTTATACCGAGTTGTCTCTGCTTTTTGTTTCGACGAAAAGTTTATGTTAGCCATTACCTACTGCAAATTTTTCCACTTCAAACAATAATAGAGGGTTTGTAATTGAGCGAGAAATAATATTTTGATATTTTGGCCTTTAATCACGTCTATCTCTTATATTTTTCTTTGATATTTTTCAAAATAAGGATTATATAACTAAATTATTGAACATGAAAAATGAGATCACTTAAATTTACTTCATCTTAATAACATCAATCACTTACCCGTGAAGTTTGAAATCATTTACAAGCCCCTACCAACACCTATTTACTGAACTCTGATCATCTAGAAATCCAGTGAGCCAACAAAAGACACATGGTAGAATTATTGATCCATTAGACGAACAACATTTACACATAATAATAAGAAACATGTTTGCTTGGCACGGATTGTCCACCAGCTTCTTAAAAAATTTGCCTATATATGTTCATGCCCCCAAAAGATTTACTTTCAACGATATTATTTCATCATTTTTACCGTGTTTTTATAAGCAACGTTGTGTATATATGCTAACGAGGACTTACTATGCATCTATATTTTCCAAGATTTCCGCTCTACTAAGCCAACAATGTCGCAATTGCACGCTTCCATAGTCCTGCAATACTTCTGAGTGTTTATTGCTGTCACTTTTTTAATAACAAAGCACTTTATCTTTATCAAATTTCATGTTTATCGAGTTTGGAATAAACGTTTGAAACGATTCCGGTACAAACCAAAAGAAAATTCACATAGGAATTAGTGTAACTTATAAATAGCAGCAACAATAGACGGTGCGTGTTACATTGCATCACTATACAATGACGACATAAGATTTTGATAGCATAAAGAGTAAACTAAACAAAACATGAAAAAAGGATAATAAATGTTGAAATCAACAATGTTCGGCTAGCGTAGACTGTTGCACTTCGTTACCATCATGACCTCGGGATGAATTCTTTCATATTTCCTGCTCGCAAGAAAAAATTCTCACTAATTTTCATTTCTCCTTCAATTTCCCGTTCAATGAAGTCAATTTTATTTGCGTGTGATGTGACGTTGCGATCACGCATTTATGCATCTAGAAATTTATGAGGTTTGTGTTCGTAGATCAATTTTTGTGATTTCACATAATTTTGTATTTTTATTCATAATTTTATTAAAGTCGTGAAAGAAATCTAACAAAACAAGAGCATCATTTCTTATAAAATAACTGGCTAACGCAAGCGGACTAACATTACGCAACTTAAACACGCTTAATGTTTCCTTTTGTTAACTATTCAATTAAGATTAATTTTCTAAAAGCGTGATTCAAATTATAAATGTACACAAAATAACGATAACGTTAGATTCGAATTGTAAATGTACACAAGACAGCACTAAAACCTCGAGATGGTAGGGACTGCAAATCGACCAATAAAATTCTTAATGAGAACAGTGCAGATGTAGAGAGAAGAATCAGATCAGACATAAAGGGCCGATAATTCTAGATAGAAGTCAGGGATTTATTTCATTAATGCAAAGATCAGAGTCATAAAAAAAAATTATTTTCCGTACCGCACATGCAACTAAATTATAACTCAATCAACCGGGGGATAATGAAGAAGAAAATTTAACTTTCTTGGAACTGATGAGAAAGAGACATCATCATACTTTCGCTGACACCTGATGACATCAATGTCAATTGCGTCTTTGTCCTTTACAATTACGCATCTTATTTTAATTGATTAATAATTTTCGAAAAAATCGATAGCCACAACCACGCAGCGTTAACATATTTTGTTATAGGACGTTAATCAACACATATACACTTTTGCGTACGGGGTGGCGGGTGGCCAAAATTTTTCAAAATATTTGATGACCGGGAGGGAACTTTCCGAAAAAATAAAAAAAAAAGTAGATGACTGTGGGAAAGAAATTTACACAAAAGTTTGACAGAGGAACTTTTCTGCCGATGGGTATATAATGTCAATTTTCCCTTGACACTACTTTTCACGTTAAAACAACGACTTTTACCATCTTTCAACACAAATAACGCTCACAACGAGCCATCGCTCCCCCTAGATCCGCGGATGGATGGGTGGCCAATCCTTGATTCCAAACTCTTGCACGCCATTGCCCGTTATCCATCACCACCATCACAGTCACATGAACAAATTCATCGACAACGAGACCAATTTTAGCAACAATCCAAATAATCCGCTTACATTAAAAGTCATTTCGGAATCGAAATAGTGTTTGTATTTGTTTCGATCTATACATGCAACACACGTGGGAAAAGGTAACGAGCACCAGTTTGAGATACGAGAGTTTGCTGGCTGATTCGAAAGAAACAAAACAAACCTGACGATACAAGGTAAATGTATGGTAGTGCTGCAACTGCTTTTATTTTCAATTGTTAATTAAGATAAAAATAATATAATTAAAGATTTATGACAAATAATGAATAAATAAATATAAAAAATATAAAAAGAGTATATATATATATATATATATATATGTATATATATATATATATTTTATATATATATATATATATATATATATATATGAATACAAATTAGTTCTAAATTTATTAAACAGCATGTCACATATAAGAACACTCGCTCAATGTTGTTTAGCAATTACACTAGCGATGAATAGATGAATGGAATTAATAATATCATAAATAAAATAAATAATAATTTATAAGATAAATAAAAATAATGAAAAAATTCAAAACGCATCCAAGATTTTGACGTCTTGCTTTACTGCGAAAACCACAAACGACGACGACAAGACATGCTCGAGTAGTAGTAGTAGTAGTAGTAGCATTAATATAACCAAAGAAAAAAATAAAGTACATGTAAATAAATAATAATAACATTAATAACAATAATTATGACAATAATAATTACAATAACAATAATAATAAATACACTAATAATAGCAATAATAATTATTACATTAATAATAAATGATAATGATATTGCCATTACAATAAATAATAAAAAAATAAAGTACACTATATATATATATACATATATATATACATATGTACTACATTCATTCTACATATATAATTTATATTGTAATCATAAGTGTATACAATATAGTTATAAGTAGTACGTAGTATATGTATAAGTGTCATCATATTACATAGCATGTAGTATGCAAAAATATATTAATTCTTGCGTAGGGTGCTTTTATTATCACCATCGTCATTGTCATAGATAGAAATTTGTTTAAATGATTAATAATAAATAAATCAAGATAAGCAAATAAATCAGGAAATAAATACGTCAACTATAATAATAATATTTTTTTTCAATGGCTATATATATATATATATATCCTGCTATCATTCATGAGTACTTTGAAAATGTTTAATCGTAAAAATTCAAAATTTATTAGGATTAATATTATAAAGGATTTGGGTGATGAGGGTGGTTATATATAACGTAGCTATAAGTAAAGGAGTTGATGTAATAATAATTTGTTGACATATATTTGTTAATGTCACCGCTGCTGTTTATTATTATTACTACTATCATTATTATTATTATATTATTATTTTTATTATTATCATCCCTATTATCACAACAACTACTGTAATTAATTAATGCTTTATTGAAGTTAATATTATTAAATGATTTTACTATAATTGTCATAAATGCCATTGTTATTATTATTATTTATTTATTTATTACCTATATTAATAATAGCAAAATAATAATAATTATTATTATCATTATAATTAAAATAGAAAAGTCAGACGTATCATTGCCACAGAAGTTATAAGGGGCAAAAAATGCCTAACCCGCTTATTTAATTAATTACTAATTATCATTAATCACTAATTTAAATACTCAATTATTAATCAATAATTAATTGTTAATTGATCGATCAATCAATGATCATTAATCCCAAATTTCGACTTCGTAATCAAGGGAGGGAGCTGCCTTCATCGTCTGGTTGAGTTCCTCGTTGTCGATGTTAACCCTGGTAGCTGATGCCAGGTTCTGTTTGTTGGTCTCGTTTAAATTGTTGACGTTGCTGCTGCTGCTGCTGTTGCTTCTGTCGCCAAAGCCTCTTCTGCCCCTGCTAGTTCTGATGGATAAAATATTGTCCTTGCTCTCGCTTATGTCAACGTCATTTTCAATGTCGTCGTCTTCATTGTTGCTGACGTTGTTGTTGTAATCATCGTCGTCGTAATTCATTTTAGAGTTGTATTCGTGAGCGCGTGTCAAATTCTTTTTATATTTGTAGTGGCCGTAGTAGTCATCGTCGTTGTCGTCGGTGATGTTGTTGTGACTGTTCTCCTGGCTGGTGTTGGCATACCGCGAGGGTGAGGAGGTTGACGTGCTGTTCACCTTAGAATCCCGGCAATCTAGCTCCGTCAGCAAGGCTGTCGCATCTGCCAACGTGTCCTGTTTCAAATTGAATCGACAGTAAAATAGCTTTACATTCCAACTCAGAAACACGGGTGTAATGAACAATGCTTTCAACTAATTAATCATTAAATAGCTGATTAACCTTATCAGCGGGTTTGCTAATGTAACAATTGAAATGTCACTACTGCTTAATAAAAGTAACGGCGCTCTCTGCCGACAGCGAAAAAATAGCGACACAGCCGATGCACCGACCAACAACGTGTATATAACATAGCCAATAAATCAACCAGCCTGAGCGCTGATAGTCCTCTGGAATGATCTGCTGTCAGTTTTTTCATTGGAAAGATATAATGCATGATTCATGTTGCTTCCTGGCCACTGGTTGTCCATCATCTGAATCGTGTTGTTTTGTTTGTTTGTTTGTTACATTACTTACTTTGCATTCGAATAATTTAGAGAGAAATAACAAAATTCAGTTTTCAAACGATATTTCCTGTAAACAATAATTTAACAGCTGAATGATATCTCCCGCTTATATAACATACATAGGTGTAAGGTGTATAATGTGTAAATAGTAATAGTATAATAACTGAAGAATGAAACCTTCGAATTCAACCAGTTGACAGCCCACTGCCACTTTCCTGATCTGGAGAGCAGGTAATCCTTAACCAAGCAGCTCCTTAAATTTTAGAAAATTTGTTAAGTAAAAGATGGTTACAATGAACAAATGTGGGTATTTATGACCATATACACACATATAAATATAGTGACGTATACAGGTAGGATGAAACAAAGTTTTGAACGAAGGAAGTATGCCAACTTATTAGATAGATTGACGAGGAATTTGACGAAGTGATATGACCTCTTGCTCTCCATTGAATGGTTCTGTCTCATCAATTCTGCAGTCAAAATATATCATTGGGTCAGTCTAAAATTGGGCCAACATGACCTACTTTTTAGCTGGGTCAACGTTATTTAAATGGGTCAATGTTTCAAGTGATTAGCTCGTGTTTAGCAGATTGGCAATATAACATAAAGAATCCAATAAGCCAACTGACAAATCAACCAAACAACCAACCAACTGACTAACTGGCCAACCAACCAATCAGTCAACCAACTGACCTAGCATGCCATGGTAGCAAGTGGGATTGCTGGCTCGGTCATCGCCAACCTCTTCCATGATATATTTCAATCTGATGTGCTGCAGATGGTCACTCAACAACTGAAGAAATAATTTTTGAATTGTTTATTATTTATATCTGTTTATTAAATTAATTTAAATTAATCACCATATTTTTTTTATCATTTTGCTCGTTTTGCATCACATACACATTCACACACACATTCACACACACATTCACACACACCCACACACACACACACACACACACACACACACACACACACACACACACACACGTGTATACATACACAACTTATAAGTAAAGTTAAAAAAGTATGATAGAATAAAACTAACTAAAATGCTGAGTAGCGTCGAAAAGACATTTTTTAATTCATTTGGTGGTGCATTCAAGCATTGATCCTGGTTTTGTATATATTTATAAATTCATTTATTTATTTAATTATTCATTATTTTTATATATTTATTCATTTTTTATTATCACATTTATTTATTGATTTATCTTGCAATTAGCCCCATTGACAGAATATAAATCGCAAAATTTAACGATTACCAAAAGCAAGCAATTTATAAAATGAAGGAATGAATGAATGAATGAACGAACGAATGAATGAATGTATGAATGAATAAATGAATGAATTAAAAATGAAGGAGTGAGTGAACTAAAAATGAGCCAATACAGCAAGGCAGTACTAACAAAAAGCATGGTAAGTATGTGGATGGAGAATGGTTTGTTGTCCTGGCAGCAATGCAATAACATCTTCTGAATCAACTCTACACTAGTTGGTAGTTCTCTCAGAGCCTGAACAACCTGTACATATTTTGTTGGTGTTATGTTGTTGTCTATGTTGCTGTTGTTCTTTATGTTGTTGTTGTTATGCTAACTCAAAAAAAAATCAATACCCACCTCGTGAATGTACCTCGTCGACATATCCCCGTACAAATACCTAGCCATCTCTGGTGGCATGTTGAAAGGAAGCTTTGATGAAGAAGAAGAGGACGACGGCGAAGATGACGCTGAAGTTTTTGTAGCAAGTATTCTTAGACGCGGTCGCTTCAAACCATCGTCATCGTCGTCATCTTCTTCATCAGCATCGATTGCATGTTCTTTGTTGTTGTTGTTGTCGAAGACAGCTGGACTGATGGGCGTGATGGTGATGGCATCTGACAGTCCAACACTGCACTCAATTAAATGACCCGGATCTAGATAAATAAAATTTTATCAGTAAAAATTTCTAGCCTAACAAGCAGCGAAAACTAAACAAGCAACACAAAACTAGAGAGTAGCATCAACAACTTTTTCAATAATAGCCATAGCTAAAGCATTGACATCCAACATCAGAATATATGCAAGGAAAACAACGACATTGACGGGACATCTACACCAACCATGAGTCTTATGAGCAGAGACGTTGGTATGCAGGATCAGTGTGGCCAGGGTGTCATGGAGATATCCGAAATCTTTGGCTTGTAGCGAGCCCCATCTTCTGTTTGTGTAGTCCTGCTGCAACAATATCGCATGGATAATTTTCAATAGTTTAATGACAACCAACCGACCAACCAACCAGCCAGCCAGCCAACCGATCATGCAACCAACCAACCAGCCAACCAACCTGCCAATCAACCGGTCAGCATGCCAACCAACCTACCTGATCAACAGTCCTTCCAAGTAGAAATTCCATCAACTTTTTGAAGGCATTCTTGACGAGGAGATGTGCACAGGTCTTGTTGCTCTGTCGTCAAAATAATTTTCATCATTTCAAATAAACAGACCGAGTAACGACAAAAAATTCAGTGAAACTAACGATTTTGGCATATATGTAGAGTATGTAGAAGTACTGCATGCTCTGTTTGCAGTTGTCTGGTACATCCTTCTCTAGCCAGGAGAGGAGAACCTCTATGACGATGTCAAAATCTCGGTTGGTCTGTGCATTTTATGGATGTATTTGTCCATTCACGTTTGCTTCAAATTAATAGATTCATTGAAAAGCTGATTCGACTCTCTAAACAAACTTACAATCATTCAGCCAGTCTAACAACCAACCAACCAACACCTAACCAGCCAACCAACCAGCCAGCCAACCAACCAACCATAGATAATGGACCACTGTAAACATCATTTTGCAGACAGAACCTGATGGTCACCTCAATGTACTTGGTCAGAGAACACCTGGTCTCTCTGCACGGACACTCCAGTAGCATTGCTCTACAGTTCAAAGTTCATATATTAAAATATATTAAACTTATATATAGCCATTTGAAAAAACATTAAACACATGTCGGACTAAATTAAAAACATTAGATTGAAACATCATAAATATCTTATAAGCTTTATTTTAAAACACACGTGAACTCAGATCTTAAATGAAATCTCACTAAAACCAGGCAGCATCCAGTCTCAAGCCCGATACGAAGGCTTTCATTTCCAACTCATTTTCAAATTCGACAACAAATCATTAAACGTGCACGTTTTCGTTCACAACATCAAGAGCAAATGAAGAATAATGTTGTAACTCCTGACCTCGCATATAACAATAATATTAACTGAGTACGAATTTTCAAAAATTAACATCGCCGATAATTACAAGCAACGTTAAAAGTACTGAACAACATGAAGACTGACTTGAGATAAGGGAGTGCATCAGATGAGAGGAACTTCATCATATGCGCTCCTGTCTCCTTCGACTTTGCAATCAAACTGACGACCAAAGCCTCCCAATCATTCGTGTCGTATCTAGGCCAATATTTCAACAAATTTTAAAGTTGCTTCACGAAGTTATTTCAACAGGAAATGCAAAGAAATTCAGACCAAGCAACTATTAAAAGTAGAAATGAACGGTAAAAAATATTGAACACAACGTTGCAGCCACACTTGACAATTTAAAAAAAAACAACAATTACACCAAAAATGGCACAAACAATCGCATCAAATTTCACTAAAAACCACAACAAATACATAAACCAACGTAAAAGGTGAGACACAACAAAACATTAAACACGGTAAAACAAAACCAAATACAGCACACCAAACAAACACCTCAGTCTGAAGTTACTCCTGTAGTAAGTGTTGAATAGGAAGATGAGTGCAAACTTCAGTGACTGCAAATGAAGCTCTATGTCTTCCAGGTGCTGTTTTCAACATTAATTATGAAAAGAATAATAATAACAAATTAATATAAAAATTATATTAATAAAAGTTTTAAAATTATGATCATTACAAAGTCAAATAATCCTAATTAATACTCATGACAATGTGAACCGACAAACAGACAAACTTATTAGTAAATAAGCGAAAAATTGTAAGATTGATGAACAAACAAGATGAATTAAACGATGAACTTACCATGTTCCTAGAAACAAGACGTTTGATGAAGGAGAAGTAGTCCACTTCAAATATGTTTCTGTTTTTAATGAACAGCAGGTTCTCTGCTCTGACCAGCTGCTGAACTCTGACAGGCATGTGACTGCCGAATAGTCCTGTGTGCGTTTGAAAAATGAGTATTTTTTTACAGAAGTGTACATTTAGATAAGTGTGTGTGTGTGTGTGTGTGTGTGTGTGTGTGTGTGTGTGTGTGTGTGTGTGTGTGTGTGTGTGTGTGTGTGTGTGTGTGTGTGTAAATTGGACGCACTCGCTCATAAGTACACTTTTATTGTTGTGTACCGTTGAAATCAACTAATAACAAATTCGAAATAGCAAATTAAATAATAATATTACAATCACGTGAACCTTTTTTTTCTCCTTTATGCACCAACTCTTCCAAATCTTTCAAACTGTTTCTCTCATTCCGCCTGCTAAAAGCGAAGAACAGTTGTAAATATTTTTCACGAACTAAAAACAAAAAATCTTTTAAAAACAACTCTGGATTTGTAAAATAGGAACAAGTTAAGAACAATCATATAAACAGATAAAAAAAAACAAATTCAACAGACAAAAGCAGTGAAATAGCCGACCATTTATTTGAAAGCAGAAGAGTACTGTCCTCTTCATTCACGAGACCTCTGGGCAGCATGACCTTGCTCTTCTTGGCAGACGTTGGGCATTTTGAGTCCTCGACCTTCTCAAAAAACAGCAGATAACCATTCCAGTACCTCTGATGTTCTTCTGTGTGAGAGGCTGTTACGAATTCACGAGCAGACTTTTAACATCATCACATTACCATGAACTATCATCATAAACAAGGTGGTTACCATTGCTGGTATTAACATTTTGATTGACATGTGAATTTTTATTAAAAATTATTACGTGAATAATTTTTTAAATAGTCATGTCAACAATTATGCTGTCTTTTAGGAAAGCTCATTTTTTTCATCAGTTGCCAATTCATCTGACAATCTAATCCATCCACAATTTTTTATCACATAAATTCACAAATGGCTATTAACTATTCCATGCATTCATCCTCTCAACCCTGCATCTAGCCATCCATTCATCTATCCATTCATTGAACCAAAAACGCAGCACATGAACTAACAGTTATTCTCAGATACTTTGGCTTGATACTTTCCTCCGAAACACTCAGCTTCCAAATTGACTTCATTCATCTCAAACTCCTCAACCATGGTGTCATTGAACTTATGCCATTTGTGCTTCTTCGGGTTGCTGCTAGTTGTTCCTCTGTACAGAATTTTCAAACAAAATAGAAAATATAGCATGTAGTAAACCAACTAAACCTAATAATAATTCCATAAAAAAAAGCCCCAACCGAATATTTTAGTAATTATTCAATCAATTCAAACAGCGCCGGCCACAAACCTTCTATCCTTGATAAATGAATAGTAATGGCCAGCGTTGGCCTGTCCACTGTGAACGACCACGCCCACCAGCTCATATATGATGTGATTGGTCGGATGGGATATGGATACGTTGACGTTTCGAACGGTAGATCGTTTCTTACTGGACGAATGTGTGTCGACCTCCATGCTCTGATCTTCAAATATTTCTGTATCCTCGTTGTTATTGTCGGATGTATCTAACATCGTGTGTCCGCCATCTGAATCTGGGTCACTATCTGATTGGGCCATCTCTTCCCTCCACGCCATGCCTTCCGCCGTGTACGGCTCCATATCCAGGGTCATTGGAAACTGAAGGAAAAAAAGTATTTTTCAACTCATTCCTTCATTTATTTGCTGCAGTCCGTACTATAAATTGAATATTTAAAATAATATTTCATCTTTACATTCTTAAATCTTTCTCGCAGTGTGAACAACAAATCTGTCATCCACATAACGAGATGATGATGATGATTATAGTAAGCAAAAATAATAATAATTATTATAATAATAATGATGATGAGAATGATGATGATAACAATGATGATGATATAAATACCCTGAAGTAGTCATCAAACTTGATAGCCCTGTTGGCCTCCCAATCATAATCAAACCTCTTCAGTTGAATGCAGAGGACTGGCGGTAGCGTCTTCACGCACAACCTCTTTATCGTGTCACGCTGTTCATTTGCAATTCATTTCCATCATGAAGTTTGAAGAATAATTATTAAAATATTCAATTGGGGCGTTTTTCATTCTTCACTATTACATTTGTGCATTCTTAGAAAATAAAAATGTAAAAGATTTGTGAATAGTTGAAACGAATTTACTAAAAGAATCCCAACATTAAAGCTTAAAAAAAAATAAATGGTCAACCAGCCACGAATATTAACTACCTATACTTATTAATCAATTTTCACGCAAAAACACTCACACATACACGCACGCAAACACACAACACACACGCAAACACATACACTGACCTTAACGCCACAGAGTTCACAATAGTAAGCATTGTCGCCATCCAACAACTCTCCCTTAACAAACTGATCTAAAGATTCTTGCAGTGTAGCGTGCTTTACTGTAACGTTCAGGGCAAAGAATGGTTCCTCCTGTTCATAACTGTGTTCGTTGTGTGTGTGTGCGTGTGTGTGTGTGTGTGCGTGCGTGTGTGTGCGTGTGTTCGCAAATGTGCGTTTGCGTGTTTGTATGTTTGTGAACGTGATTTGCAGCAAAAAAAGACGATAACTTCACTGTCAGTTTACAAGCGATAATCTGCTACAGCTGAAACGACCAACCAAACGACCAACCTGTGCTTACAGCCCTTGCAAATTTTCTGGTCTGAGAAAAAACCTTGGAACGTTTTCTTAAATATTTCTTCTCTGCCCAGTTTCTGGAACATCAAAAATTATCAAAATAAAAAATGACGTTCTCGGAATAATTTACGTTATCAAGAGAAATATATTGATCAATTAAGTATTTGATTGAGAAGATAGTAGCACTGACAAATATTTGTAATGGACGGAAAGCCAACCTTAATCTGTTCATCGAGTTGATCAATGAGAGCATGGAAGAAGTCGAGGGCATCCTGTTGTTCCCTGATGTTTACCTGGACACCCCACAATTTGAAGACCTCCCAGAACCCCTGTGGAACGTAATATTGCAACTTGCTCTCCAGCAGGTGACCCAACACTTGCTGCATCTGATACAAAACACTGAAGAAAAAAGAGATTATACTTCTGTAACAGACTACACTAAATCTATAAAATAATTCTAAGCATTATTTCCGGACTAGATTAAACTTCACAAGTTCACCTATCATTCACTCACTATTATTACATTCAACATTTGTAATGGTATTAATGTTATTACGAAAACCGTTCAACTAGTAGACGTGACAAATAATTATTTCAAATCTCTTCTCTCTCTCTCTCTTTCTCTCTCTCCCTCTTTCTCTCTCTCTCTCTCTCTTTCTCTCTCTCCCTCTTTCTCTCTCTCTCTCCCTTAACCAACGAACCTGTTTTCTTGTATCTGATCATCATCAAGTGAGAGGATGTATTCCGTGATGCCAGGAATCATGTGCAGTTGTTGGATGACAGAGTTCATGTAGCAAGTTGCACCTCCATTCTTCAGCCCCACGAAGCCAGAACCTGACCGACCATCTACTGCAGGCATGTACTGAATGAAGCGTGTTGTTAGTAACGTTCTAATTAATTACTAACAGGCAGGTATCAGTAATTTTATATCAGTACGAAAATTTTCAAGTCATCCAACAATATAAAAGGAGTACACTAGACAACCTTTCATTAATTCTCTTCAGCTTAAAATAGGAAGGAAAGAAAAGAATTGTAATTAATTAATTAACTAATTTATTAAGAATAATTTAATGTACCTCCCATTGGTTGGCGGGTATGCTGTTTGGCTGGTGGTGCATGTCGGCCAGCTGATTGCAGACGCACTTCAAATTCTCAAATTCCTCATACGAAAGTTCAATTAAGAGATTGTAAGCCTCAATGCGAGATGGCGAGTTGGAACATCTGAACAACAAAAAAATTCATCGGTAACTTTGCCTAAAAATAAGTTAAATTTGGCACGAAATTGCCTAAGAATTCACGAGTAACACAAACTTGGCGTTGAAATGATTTGGAAATTTACAGCAGGAGGTCTTCTTACTCTTGGCACTTGCGTTGTTGGTTCTACAGTCATAATCATGTCCTACCATCGAGCGTGCATCATTCATGATTATTTGAGAAGCAGGAAACAGGAAGTTGTACAAGATATCCTCAATTAGAATAGATCCTGTTAGATTGGTCACAGATACAAATGTCATCCAGTAACAGTCGCCATCATTTTGTCGTTAATGTCCTCGTCGTTGTCACCATATCATTTTCACCATCATCAACATCATCCTAGTTACTACTGCGGTTAGTTCAATTTTTTTATAATTGCCAACTCTCCTTTCATCGTCGCAGTCGCAACATTAAAATTTGTCAGTGTGTCATTATATCCACAATGAAATCATCAACATCATCATCTCTATCAGGTATTAATCTGACGAATCAGTCATCACAAAACAACCACTTCCTGACTTATCGCCACTCTACCATCACAAATGATATCACCATTCATACCATATTTAGATAATATACATAAATATCTAATTCTATATCAGGGAAAGAAAAGGGCCAGGCAACCATAATATTTTTTGTTGACTCCGACGCAGGTCAGCAGGTTCCTAACAAGATGCAGATGACCCATCAGTAGAATATTATCAACATCGGATAGCAGTGCATCTTCAGAGCAGATGAAATTCTTCAGCCACCTTATCTCGTCATTCAACATGCATTCCACGTTTATCTCTAGTCTCTTCTGGTCTTCAACTGACAAGAGTAGTATAAATACAAAATATAATAATAATAATATAATATAATAAATACTAATATAATAAATAGTCATGTGTACATGTACGCACATACATGTGTGTTGCATGTATGTACAATGTGTGTGTGTGTGTGTGTGTGTGTGTGTGTGTGTGTGTGTGTGTGTGTGTGTGTGTGTGTGTGTATTCGTTTGCATGTAAAATGTAAATAGTACACGGTTTATAGGCTAGGTGTGTCAGGCATGTAGTGTTTTGTATAGCGTAATTAAAGCGTTTGTAGAACTTGTGTAGTATGAGGAGTGAGTGATTTGTATGTTTATGTGTGCAGTTTAGTTAAAATGTTTTGAATGACTTTTAAATAAGAGAACTTAATCATCATCATTATACCTATAAGACAGATAAAATTATTATTTTTAAATATTTTTCTGGGAGGTTAAAATTAAAAATTTATTTAAAAATTCAGAAATTAATTATTTATGAAATAAATAGAAAGCACAAACTAGGAAGATAGCAGAGTAATCTACTGAGAAGCATGAAAAACTCCTTGCTCTGCTTCAACAATCTGCATCGTCGTCGTCACCATCATCATCAACTCATAACCATTATCATCATCCACACTATCATTACAGATGTCATCAACACTTAGATATTGTACTTATACCATTGGCATTTATCATAAGTTGAGGGGAATGAACATGAAGTGAACAATAGCTTTCCAGTTAATCAAATTATGGTGATTCAAAAGTTAGAGATATGAGTAAATTTTACAATTATTATAATTTTATAATAATAAGTATAACAATGACTATAATAATAATAATAAGAAGAAGAAGAAGAAGAAGAAGAAGAAAAAGAAGAAACCAACTTTAGACTGGAGCTTCTTGTCTGAGTGGAGGAGACCCAAAAAGGCAGCCTGGCCCTTCTTAAAACTGTCAACATGAAATGTTTTGGAGACGTGAAGTGAACACTTGGGGGCAGTTGTTTCTGGCGTTTGCTCATAAGACTTGATTGCATGTTTGTAGATGTAGTTGAAGCTGCTGCTGCAGATGTGGCATGGTGATTTTCTGAAGAAACTGTAGCAATAGTAGTGGTAGATGTCTTTCTAATGGGTTGAGATACTTCAAAAAAATATAACTTCTTACTGAGCGGAGGTTGAAACGATGGGTCGATTTGTTGCGGCTGTTGAAGTTGTTGCTGATGTTGCCGCTGCTGTCGATGAAGCTTTGAAATATTTGTGGATTTCTCATCAACAGGGTCGAATGTCAACTTATGCGGAGTAATGTGTGAATCCTTCAGTTGCGAGAACGACGAAACTCCTGTGGGTAGCTGGAGGTTGCTCAAGATGCAGAGCTGTTCCACTGCCTTCAGTCTCACCTCCTCATCTTTTGATGTCACCAGAACATCAATCAGGAAAATCTCAATGTGAGGTATGGATAGGAAAGAAGCTGTGTGTTCGTGTGTGTGGTGTGTTTGTGGTGCGTATGGCGTGTGTGCGCGTGTGCGTGCGTGGCGTACGTATTATCATCATCATTTCATTTCATTGAAACATTTGTTAGCTTAAATACAAATTAATTTTTGTAGCATTTGGGAAATTTTTTAATGAAAATTGCCGTGATGGAGCGATGAAAGTGATTTTTTTTTATTATTTTTACAAAATAGAAACAACAAACAACACCAAAGAATAACAATGCCACATTTTTAAATGAAAAATAACCAAAAAACTGAAAAATCTAACCAATGAGAGAAGGATTCAACTTAAGACATGTGACCAAGAGCTCCAGTGATTCACAACAAATGTATTTGACTCGAGATGATGACGGCGAAGATGATGATAAAAGTAACGATGACGATGAAGATGATGTAGTAGGTGATGTCGGAGACTGACCAGATGATGACGACATCGGTGATCCTAGATGATGCTCTGAAGATGACGATGCACTGATGTTGCTGTCTGCAATGTCAATGTTGTTATATAGCGATTAAACTTCATTATCATCAACGAAAACAACATCACTATCCCCATTCTAGCAACTTTATTGCATCATCATGATTGTTATCACAATTGTCGTCATCATTATCACATAACTCTTAAAAAATTCTTCATATTTCTTCATACTTATATTAATTTAGGTTTGATACCCTATTTATAAAAAAATTTTATCAATTAATTAAAGCATTTAAAAATTAATAAATTGTCAAAAAAAATTGCAAAATTTTCAGAAGATTGACGGAGGGACCTGAGCTGTTTGATGCACTGAGAAGCAGCTGGTCGACTAATATGCCAGAGTCCTTGATGTTTGCAGCACTGAAAATGATGTTGTCAGCAACGTTCAAGTTGGAAGAAGCAGAGACACAGCTGCTGATACTACAACTGTTGTTGCCATCGTTTTTGTCGCTGGTGTCGCTGTTACTACTTTGCGGCTCTGAGGGCAAACAATTTTGTGAGGGATGATGATCAGTGGTATCCATGTTGTTATTTTCGTTGGTGCTGGCGTCATTGTTCATGTTATTATCATTCTCTTCATCGATAATCATGTCATTATTATCGCTATTAACGCCTTCGTTATTCTGGTTGTTATTATTGCTGTCAGTGGCGTTGTTGTTGTTGTTGTTGGAATTGTTGACGGCACACTTGCTGTCGGCACAGATGGCACTCGGCTGCATCCTTCCAGTGGCGGCATGCCAAGCCACGTAGACGAAACATTCAATCATTTTTGTGAACTGCGTTCTCGTCATCATCTGTCAGTGTGTTTGTTAAAATCTATTAAATCGATATCGAATTTTGGCAAACTAATGCTAAATATTGTAGGCATTGACCAGTAAAAATAAGATGAAATGAGTATGTTAATAAGTTAGAGCAAAATGCAAAATTAAACAAAAAGTACTCTGATCTCAAACAGATATAAAGTAATATTTAATCATATTAACTTTAACATTGACACAACATATGGCACATATTTTCAAGTCTTCAAAATATATGAACAAAATTTTAAACACAAACAAAAATATATAACGAAAGCAGCTGACTTGTACAGCTTTACAAGCAGAAGATGGTGTTTTGCAAATTGTTGCAAAATTTGTTGGCGTTGTTTTGTTGGTTTTTGGTGTTGTTGGCAGACTGCTATCGGAAGTAGGTGGTGATGCAAGTTTTATTGAGGAGGGAGGAGGGGGGTAGCTGCTGAGGCAGTGCTCACCTGTTCCGTCCTTGCCACATAACATGAATCTGTTGCAAGTGGATCAATTGAAGCACAGTTTGCATGTGAGGTGAGTAGGTCGTTTGGTGACATTTTTTAAATAACTAATTGTACGCTAAAAACACCATGATACAATTTTTTAATGACTACATTTTATCAATCGGATAAATTAGACCCATATCAGACTGCCTTTAAGCCTAACTTACAAAAAAAAGTAAAGTACTACAGTAGCAACCAGACCCTTCAACAAACCTGAGCAGCTGCAGACAGATTGCATAGCATCCCTGCCTAGTGTCTGGGTCGGTGTGTTCCTCGTTGTTGAGGGTCTCACACTGCAGGATGGACACCACCTGACTCAAACCACCTGCCTCTAAGAAATCCTGACAGAAAATCTGGGCACTCTGCAACGACGTGCCATCCACCGAGTATGCTGGTATCAAACGACTACTTAGCACCTGTTTTAGACATCAATTATTATAACTATATCTACCATTGCCTCAAACAAATTCAAAAAAATAATTGGAAGAAGAGTAAGAGACCTCGATATTGTAAAGAACTCTGAACAAGTTCATGCCAGGAGATGCAGGGTCCAGCATGCTCGTTAGAATTTCACCAAGTGTCGCCTGAATCATTTGCTGTTGTTCTTTCGACTGCTGTTGTTCTTTCGACTGCTGTTGTTCTTTCGACTGCTGTTGTTCTTTCGACTGCTGTTGTTGTTTCTGTGGGTGAGGTTTTTGCTGTGGTGTTGGCTTGTTTAAAGAAAACGACGCCGGTGATTTATCTACCGTTATAGGCGGCAACATGGTGGTAGCCGTCGTTGCTGGTGACGTTACTACTGTAGCTGCTGCAGAGAGTGGGACTTGGGGAATTTCAAGAGATATAATACTTGTTGCTATTTGGTTGCTTAATTCTAAAGGCAGTGTCTCAGTGGTCGATGGTGATGATATTGATGGCAAAATCAAACTTTCGGCTGGCGATAGACAAGATTGCGACGCGAAAGATGACGACGTTGAAGATGTTGATGGTGCTTTGGAGATTGCTAACGTGTGAGTAGCAGAAGTATAGAGGTTAGCTACAGCAGGCAGATGGGACACTATACACAATGCAGTCGGTCTCGAGAAAGTTTGTTGTGGAGGAGATGTATCAAAAGAGTTATTTGATTGCCTGGATCTTGAGGATGATGATGAGGACGACGAAGACGATGACGATGACGTGGACAGTGATGAGGGTGATAATAAGGAATGAGATGGCGATGCAGGATCATCCGAATAAAGGAAAGGATTAGACGTCAATAACGTTGACTGTGACGATGAAGATATCTTACACGAAACTATTGCATGTGGAAGAACGGATGTAGTCAGTAAAGTTGGTGCTGTTGACTTTAAACACGAGGGTATCGATGTTGACAATGTTGAAAGTATCGGTGAGGTGAAAAATATTGTTGACGTTGTTGGTGATAACATTGCTGTCATAAATGTTGATTCGGCTAATAATGATGTCATCGCTAATGTTGATGTCGTTGATGTTAATGTTGATGTTGTCAGCGACCATGATGCGGATTTACACTGGACGCTGCTCTGTTGAACTGGGGACCTCTTCACTTCATCGTCACACGCTGTTGAAACTTTCATCTTCTGTAGATGTAAAATGTAAATTAAAATTTATCCCTACCTTAAAAATGTGGAATAAATAAAGACCAATGTAGTTTTTGATAATTTGCGTTATAAACAGCAGAGTAAATGATTCATACAGTAGATATACAGTAAATGATTCATACATACAATTATAAATAAACACTGTTAAAACAGCAACAGAGATTTGTAACGACAAAGAAATCAGCCCTACCTTCCGGCCAATAGCATCAAAGTTGTGCAGCACCTCGGGATCAGTTGGAATGAGCATCAGGAGGTTTCGAACTCGGTGCGTGATGCGTGGAAGGTCTAGGGAAGCCAACTGGTACAGCGTCTTGAAGACATGAACATCTTTAGACATCAAGACACCTGGTAGATACTTCTCCTGATGTAAGTTATTATTATTATTACAATTATAATTATTCTCTCCTAGATACTCCTCAGAGGTTATGGATTTGCAGAAGTTACAATGGTGTAATCAAAAAATTACATCATGCACCTACGATGATAATCTCTACAAGCAAAAAATTACATTCTCCAAATGTTTACGTTTTAATAAATTTAACAAAATAACCCGTTATCAAATGAAGTTATATATCTACCACTGCCTCATCCATCCTCATTATTATTCAAAATAGAGACGTCTAGAACTTCAAAAATTACGATTTAAAACTGGAAGCTACACATAAAAAAAACGGTAGTAACAAATTTAAACAGGGTGCATGACAAAAAACGAAAAAGGCAAGCAAGCAGGCACTTACATATTCACTGTATGCGTTGTAAACTCCAACTGTTGAAGCTAGATCCTAGAAAAAAACACATTGACATGAGTTTCATTTTCAACATAAAATAACAATACTAAAACGAGCGGCACGATGGTGTAACGGAAAAGTGCCTGACACTACTAGTGCAATGACCGAATTCGATTTCAAAGAGATCCCCCTATCACATGCCGTGCGAACAAAGCAAAAGCGACGATGACGTTTGATTAAAAAATGAAAGCAAAACGAAATAACAAAAAAAAAACTGGCGAAACCTGCGATGATGAGTAAGAGACAAGGGCCATGGATGATGAAGAGGAAACTCTGACATTAATCACCTGATTATCATCCAGGCCAGACTGATGCAACAACTTTCCATCCTGATAGGATATAATGAAACGAAAGACATCAGCTACTTTGCATTGTTACCAGAGGAATATGGTGATTAGGAAAATAACGATGACAATACTGATAACAAGAATGATGATTGCAAAGAAGTTGGTGACGATGATAACTAGAGTTATAAATAAGTTTTAATCAAGCAGTCAAAATGTCCACTAACCATTTTGTCATTGGTTGGAAATTGGATGAAATCGGGGTTCAGTGACATCTTATCTGCTACCTTCTTCTTCAATGATCTTATGCTTTCGTTACTGTGGGCCTGATCAAGGTAAGGGAATATGTAATCATATCATGATCAACCAAACAATCAATGAACAAATCAGTTGACGATATTTTCATCGGCCAACACAATAGCAGAGAAACGAACCACAACGGTGAAGTCAGTCTTGGGGTTATCGCAGGTCACGAACAACTTGATGTACTGCCCTTGGAACGATGCCCCGTGAGGCGGGTAGGCCCTCAGCCCTGTAAACTGGTCCTCCACACTCACCACGTACCTCTCTGCCAGCAGCAACAACCGCTCCACGCCCAGGACAACATCTTGTCTGGTTAGGAATGGTTACGAAAGTGAAAGGTATGGTTACAATGATGAAAAATGATAACAATTAAAATAAAGATGGCTATGCTGATGGCAATGGTCAAGTTGGTGATAACGATAATAATACAACAATAATGATTATAACAGTTATAAGCCTAGTAACTGAAATGTATCTAACTTGAAAAACGTCAGCATGTAGAGAAAAAAATCGAACAGATGAAATTGCATGAAATGAATTATAATCGTTAGGTTCACTAGACATTTCTTTGTCTAACAAACATCAATATCAATATCAACATCAACGTCATCATCGTCGTCATTATCATTACATTGCACTGGATGAAGTATCCCTCCATGCCTCCTTTGCAAAACTTTTAAACGGTGATGAACGAAATGGTGGAGTCGCAGTTGGTAGTAACGACACTGAAGGCATCGACTGAGTCGCTGGTGGTGACGATGTGGTCGACGGCGATGATGCAGGTGGTGGTGGTGAAGAGAAGCACGATGATGATGAGAACGGAGGAAGTTTCATGACGCTTTCCAGCCAATTGTAGCACTCGTTAATGAACTTCCTGTGAAGTCTCTGAGGGTCTCGTTTGTGCTTGGAATCAAGATTGAGATAGGAAACGCAGAGAAGCATATGGATTGCCTGGTCGGCTATGTCATTGTCCACCGAGGTCAGACATATTTTCCACAAATAATCAAGTCCATGGAGTTCATCTGGCTCGTCAACAACCTGCTGGAGAAGCAGGAACAGAAATAATAATTAATCTATTGCGCAACTCTAGTGAAAGTGCTGATTGTTGATACTGAGACTGCATGCTAAACATAAAAATCAATTCTACATAATAATTGATTAAATTTATTCTAACACTGTTGCTGAAAATCCTCATCTTATTCTCCTGGGCGTTGATCTCCTCAAAGAAACATTTGAAACAGTGAAATCCTAAATGTTGAAAATTATCTAACATTAGAAAGTTAGAAAAAAAACCTCTCTTTATGTATCTAAAAATTCAATCGTTCAATAAATCATACAACCAACCAAATGCAATCGACCAATCAATCAATCAGCCAATTAATTTACTATTTAAATATAACATCAATTAGCTATCTAGTTGTTCAGCCCATCAGCATCCAACAAACCTACCAACCAACCGATCCAATCAACCAACCAACCAGCCAGCCAACCAACCAGCCAGCCAGCCAACTAACCAACCCAACCAACATACAAACAACCAACCAATCAACCAACCAACCCACACTCCAAGAAACCGAACAAGACCTGCAGTAGTCATCTTAGAAGGATCGAGATGAAGCACTTCCTCATGGAACATCTTCCTCTGTGCATCCTGCTCCAAGTCTTTGATGCTCCTACTCAACCACTTATAACATACCTACAAGATTTCATTGCATTCATGAAAATTGATCATGTAATTAAATTGCTAATTGGTCCGAAACATGAAATCATCTGTCGGCAGAACAGACAACACGTATTCAATGAGTTACAATGTAATCGTTCAATCTGCAAGACAACCAAATGAGAAAACGTCATCATCATTTAGCCATTCATAACCTGAAAAAGCATTCCTCACCTCCTTATCCCATGTAGTGGCCTGTGGGTGACTGACCAGTATCGACCAAACCTTCTTACACTGGGCCCATGGAATGTACATGCACCCTTCCACCAAGAGAAATTGCAAGAACTCCAAGTGGGCAATCACGTACTAAAAAGAAAAAAATTCATTAAATTAACATTTCATTAATTTAATTAAATATGAAATAATACAGATAAATACGATATTATTTAGTATTATTATTAATTGATGACGATGGAAATAAAATCCTGAAGCATATAAAATTGAAGATGGCCACAAAGAGGTACGAACATTTTGATGGGCGGTGAGACTACTTTGAGTGTCCTCTTTTAAGGTAGCCACAATGGTTGCTGCTGACGACGTTGAGGATGAAGTTGACGTAACGGTGGATGAGGTCGACGAGAGGTACGACGACGACACAGACGACGTTGATGTCGTGAAGTCGTGACACTTTGAAAGGCTCTTTGTGGTCAGTTCAATGACCTGCTGGTTCTTATTCAATTCTTGCAGAATGTTCTAGATTTTAAAAAAAGACATTTTATCATCATCTGCAACATTTCCACAGAAGGAAAATATGGAAAACTTTGCCATTTTTAGAATTTTAATCTTTATATATATTTTTTTTAAATTATACGGCTAACATAATTATACGATATTATAAACTTTTTACTCAATAAAGCTGACAGGATTGGTGATATTAATCATGTAATTTTAAACCAAAGAACCTAACTAAGGTGCTGACATTGAAGTAATAAATAGCATAAACTATTCACTTATATATGCATATATATATTTATTTATTTATAAAGAAATTAGTTTAAAAAATGTTTAAACAAAATAAACAACGCCAAAAACCAAAAAAATTTCGATAAAACTATAATAGCAATTTTGAAAGAGCAAAAATTAAGAATACCCTTTGAGTTTTGTGGTAACTCGACTTGGCAATGCCCTTGACAATTTGGGTCAGGTGATTCAGAGCTGGAAGAATCCAGATGCCCTTAAGAAAATTACAAAGTGAGGCATATATATTATCATGAAACCAATAAAAGAAATAAATATACACTTACAACGTCCTCTCTGCTCACTCAATAGATAGTTGAATAAATCAATGGTAATATAATTTTCAAGACAAGTGACAAGGTAAAAAATTCTATCAAACTTAAAAAGTTAGACAGATATCCAAGGTTGGAAAAAATCATCAAAAACATGAAAAAAAACGTTTATCATGAAGCAATTTCATCGTTGAGACTAAAAAAAGAGTTGACAAAAACGCGGCGTTAACGTAAAAAAAAGCAACCAAAATGAACCTCGCTGATGTTTGTGACACATTTCATTATGTAGTTTTTCTTAATTGGTTCCTTAACATTCTGCGGGTCGTTGATGATTTGCAGATGTTCCAGCAGTGCTCTGTCCAATAAGGAAGGCTTCAGGCCAGGGAGGTGTGCCAAATTCCATAACACCTCCAGCACCTATTGCATGTCCACAGACAGTATTACTATTCACTAATAGAAAATTCTTTCAAACTTACATACAACTTCAAACAACATGCTGAAAATTTGGTGAAATGTTTTAAATAAAATCGCAGTTTTAAATTTTGGAATCAATTAAAATTAAAGTGATAAAAAAATTCCAACTTAAATAAAATTTAATTAAAATAATTCGTTGCATCAAAAAACGTATAGAACCTATGAACAAGCTTACACACATCATATTATCGATCGATTAAAACTAAGAAACCAAGAAATATTATTTCCATCCATTAAAAAAATTGTCAAGTTACCAAGCTTAAAATAACTTATCCTAAAAATGATAAAACACAACGCTATAACAAATAATAAGGATGAGGAAACAAAGGAATACCTTGTGAACGATGTTAGTGTTTCTTGTTTCCCTGCCAATCCCGCCAATCAACCTCAGCAGGCGCTCCTTCATGAAACTTCGTTCCTCTGTCCATGACTGTCAATATTATTTAATACGTGTGCACGCGTGTGCGCGTGTTTGTGTACGTGATGATGATGATGATGATGATGTTTGTGTGTGGTATATATGATGATGTTATAGAACCATGAACGAAAGAACGATTGAATGCATGAATGCACGAGTGAACAACAATTAGACGAATGAATGAATGAATGAATGAACGAATGAATGAATGAATGAATGAACGAATGAATGAATGAATGAATGAAATGATAGTATAAACTAGTACAGACCATCATGATGAGCTTAACTAGGTTATCGAATTGCTCGGTGCTGAATTTGATAGCAGCTGCCGATATGATGTTGTGGATGTTGTCGATGACTGCTGAGTGTTCACCTGACTGAAGTTGGAGATGAGATTGGAGATGAGAAGAATGATGACGTTGTTAATTCGATGATGACGCGATGCCGATGTGATGACATGATGGTGGTGATGATGTTGATGTGATGATGACAATAAAAAAAGCTGACAGTAAAAAATGACCATACATTTAATCTCATCAAATGAATATTTTAACACTGAAAGAAGATAAAAGCAAACAAGATAGAGTTACATATAGCATATTAATCTGGCATAGAGTAACGTACACACAACGTGTTCCACAACCAACCTGCATCGACCAAATCTTCTGGATTTCCTCATCAGACAATTTTGATCCCAAGTATTCTACTATGTTCTTGATCTTATTACAGTACTGAACTTTGTCTATGTTACCTGCATGACGTTTATAAGATGGTGGTGATAATAAGGCGATGATGACAACGGACGATGACGACCTTGATGGTGACGCTAAGGTTGAGGTAACGACGACGATGATGACGTTAACGATGGTGATGAGATGGTGATGAGAGAAAAAATGGAATAGATGAAGAGTAAAAAGTGAAAAAAAGAGACTTAACAACAACAATGAATTTTGCTAAATTCATTAAAAATGCTAAATTCATTACAATTACTAAACTCGTTGCATTTACCAAATTCACTCCTTTACATTTATTACATCAGTCTAACACACCCTACACCATAAACTAAACAAAGCCGAAACCTTCCAGAGCAATTGAAAGAACCCTCTCCTTAACGATCCAATCAACAATGTTGCCCTGACCTTCATTTGACCTTGAAGCATCTTTTGATTGGCAGTCTTCAATCATTTTAGTGACCTGATAGATGAGGTATGAGGTATGTAATGAGAGTTGATTGATCTCTTATTGAAATGTGATCTCGCCTAAATGATTTAACGCCCACAATTTGTATGCAGAAATAAAGAATTTTCAAGATCATAAAAGTTGAAATTGTACACAAGCCATAATCTAAACCTAACATTTAAGTTGATAAAAAAATAATTTAGTACATAAAATAAAAAAAGAAATAAAACATTCACATAAGCAAACGCAAATATCCGTTGATAAAGTAAATAAATTTCATAAATTAACATCTTCCATAAAAAACTAATTAACTAATTTCATTTCATTTAAAAAAAATTTCCTAAATTAATTTAATAAAAAAAAAATAGTTTAAATAACTTGTCTACTGCACTGCTTACCTCTTTCAGAGCATTCATCTTAGCGTTAAAATGAGTGGACTTGAGCATTTTAAGTGTGATGTTCACTCTCAGCTTGTCGAGGTCTGCTACCTTTTCAGGCCACAAGTTCTTACAGATCATCTTTATCACAAGCAACAGTTCACATACGTTCCCCGCGTTCTGTTATCATTTGTAGGTGGAGAAAGTTTTAAAACGGCCATTAATATTTATCCTTACATCTTTCATAAATTGCTCATTTTACAACAGAAGTGTAACACAAATTGAGAAAATTTGAAATTAGAAAATTTGGAAAACATAAAAATAGTCAATTCAGTATTTAATATTAAATAATATTGAATAATTAATTAATATTAATTAACAGTCACGAATAAAGTAATAGTGAAAAATGTGAAATTAACACAATGAAGAGTTGAAAAAATATAAGAAAGGACTGAAACCTTTTCCTTAAAGTCTGACAGCTGGCAGGCATAGTTGATGGCTGACTGCATGGCGTCACTAAGATACAAACCAACAACTTTAGCATTGAGGAATTCACAGCAGTGTGCAAATACGGAAAATAATGCCAACATATCCTGCAGGATTATGAGTGCATGCGTTGTTTGAGGAATTCCTCCATCTATTCATCCATCTATCCATCCATCCATCCAATTTACTAATACATTTATTCATTCAACTATCTGTTGAAAGTGAAATAACTGTATTGTTGTTCATTCATGCACATATTAAGTTTTCAAATTAAAACTGACATAGAATAGACAGACCTTGACAAGAAACACCAAATAAGATAATACACAGAGAAAGTCTAATTAAATAAATTAATAGATGAGTAAATTAATTAATTAATTGATTAATTAATTAATCAATCAATCAATCAAAAATTTATCCGGCACTAACATCAATGTCTGTTGCTGCCGCTTGCAATTTGTCTCTGAACAACTCAAAACCATTCATTTCTGCAAACTGCAAGGCAGAAAAAAAAATAATTTTTTCACTGCAACTTTCATAATATTGATATAATATTACTATTATGACAAAACATACACGAAAAAATTATTTCAAAATGGATTTTAAATAATTTTTAAAAAAATATGCTTTTTATTTTAAACTCATAAACACACACCTCATTTATAAGATCAGTCAGCCATCCGTATGGATCCTAAAAACATTTAAAATTATTTATTCAATTCATTTATTTATTCATTCATTCAATTATCAAATAAACTATTGCAAATGATTTCACTTTTCACAAATAAACCTTAATTAATCAAAATTTTAACTTGAAATAAAAAAAACCACACCAAAGATAAATGCATGAGAAGAGTTATGCAAATTTTCATAGTGATTTCTCATAAATTCTGATAGTTTATAGAAAAAAATTAATAAAAAATGTTAAAATGGCACAACGACAACAGCAAACAACCAATTAGAATATCATCACGAGACAAATGCATTGGATATAATTAATAAAAGATAAATTCAATTCTTCAGCGGTAAACAAATTTGGGTGATTAATTAAGTCTTTGATTTAAATCATTCATTTAATTAATTCAGTCATTATTTCATTCGTTCTTTCATTCATTCATTCATTCCTTTGTGTAATTAAGTAAATAATTAATTAGTAAAATAAAAAGAGCTAATTAATCTCTCCATCATTTAATAAAAAAAAGTACATTGCACGCATGCAATGCAGATGATGATGACGATGATGATGATGATAAGGATGACGATGATGACGATGATGATGATAAGGATGACCTTATCAGGTGGTCTAATGGTGTATGGTTGGTCGCCAAACAGCTCGTCCCAATGTTGGGGCTTTTCCGGAAATTTGCTCCTATTCTTGCTGTTGAATTCGGATTCACTGTTGAACACCTAAACATTATTATTATTATCGTTATTATTATTATTATTATCGTTATTATTATTATTATTATTATTATAGATTATCTCTATTTTTAAAACTATCATTATTATCATCGTAATAAGCAGCAACGTCATCTTCACCATCATCATTATTGTTGTTGTTATTGATGTCAGTGTTTGTCAATGTTGTTTTTATGCTATTAATAGCTTTGTTTTGCTGGGAGTTATTAGCATTATGGTTACATTGTTGCATTATAACTGAGCTATTGTTGGAATTGTCCTATTGTGAGAAAGGTTATATAAGACAGGAGATATATATACAGTCACACACATACATTCAATCATTCTCCACTGTTATAAATAAGATAGGATGACAAATAAATATATGCAGGTGGAGATAATAAAACAATGATGGACTAACGACAACTAATTAAAACAAAACACAACGCAAAAAACCAACAATGAGAAATTTATGTATATGGAAAAAAAAATATTAGCAACAACTACACAAAACACAGCACCAAAAAATGACAATGAAAAGTCAATAAAATAAATTAAAAACAATAAAAAAAGAACTGCATGAACTAACCAGGGCAAGTAATTTAAGTAGGTCATGGGGCAGAGAAGTATTCTCCATCTTCAGCCTTATAATAATCAACTCGATGAGTAACTGGAGCATCTCAAAGATTCCTTCTTGAATATCAACGGACCATCGATGTACCACCGATGTTGCCAGCAACTGCTTGTGGCAAACATTTTCGTGATTTTTGGCGGATTTTTTGGTGATTATGTATGTGCCTTATTAAGAAGTTCTCTTGCATTTATGAATAATTTAAACAAACTGGAATTAGAGATCGAATTTTGTTTAATGTTTAATTTAATATAGAATTGAATTAAAAATAAGCACAAATTCAAAAAAACTTCAACACTTCCAAGTGCACCAATCATATACAGAGCAATATCACAACAACAAAATGTATGCTAATGTGGTGATCAAAGTTTCTGACAGAAGATAATGATAAATAATTTAGTCTAGCCAGGACTAGATTGCACTGAAGAAAATTAATTAAAGCAACAAATAATAACGATGATGAAGTTGATGAATAATGATGATGATGGTAATGAGTTTGTAAATACATATAAAAATGATAGAAATCTGAAAAGCACAATACTTTGTTGAAGGCTTCTATCATACTCTTGTACATGAATCTAGAGCAGTTGACATCACTGTCACAAAGTCCTGAAGTGAAACAATAATAACTCATTCACTCTTTCATTCAAACATTCATTTATACATTCATTCATTCATTCATAAATTCATTCATTCATTCATTCATAAATTCATTCATAAATTCATTCATTCATTCATTCATTCATTCATTCATTCATTCATTCATAAATTCATAAATTCATTTACAAATTATGCAAAGAACAACAACAAAACCCATAAAAAAAAATTATTTTATACATTCAAGTAAATAAAATTGAAAACTGATTGACTGACGTAGTACCTTCCTTTGCATATCTGATGGCAGAGACCAGACAAATGCTTAAGGACTCATCCTTCTTGTAAGGAATGGACCAAGAATCGTTGAAAACTCGATTTTCCAATTCATACATATTCACCACTGGAAACTCAAGGGGTTCATCCTTCGTGGCTACTTCAGGCTTCTCGTGCTTGCTCTGTAGATTTGTGGTTGTTTTTTTTTTACAATGAAATAAAATAAAGCTAACTAAATTGAATGTAAAACAAATAGTTATAAGTTTAAGGTATTTTAGTTTTAATAAAAGCTGAGAAATATATATGAAAATGATTGCAGAAGAAATTTATTGTATTATTTTTAGTTGTAATCCAACTGAACTTTAATTTAATTTAAAATGTTTTAAAAAAATCAACTTGAACCAACTTACTAGTCTTTTCATTTTATTTCTTTTGATATTTTATAACAAACTCTATTTAAAATTTGTATTAATTAGAAATAGGGTTTGTGAACAAGTGCCAGTATCTCTACTAATTATTTATAAATTGCTATTCTCTACTACTACTACAGCTAACCTAGCAGAGTATATATCCAATAGGAGTAAGTAGTAAGTCATTAGAATTTGCATTTAAGATTAACAAACCAAACATTTAAACATGTTTACCACAAATAATTCAATTTCTTATGCTTTTATTAATAAAATATTTAAATAATTTAATTTAGTTTAGAACATCCAAAAAAACTTCACTTACAATGGCAAGAAGTTCATCAACTGGGTCCGCCATGTTCTGCAATCCAACACTGTGACTGGGGTTCATATCTAGCTCGGCATCAAATAAAGTACTGAGACTAGTTGTTGGGTGGTCATCCGTCAAAATGGCCACTGCCTCGATGACGTCATTTTTCGTAGCTTTCAGGGCCCGTCGAACGTTTTCCAAGTGGAACCCCATACTCAGCAACTGGTTCACATGCTCTTCGTTCGGTTCCGTCATTATTTTCAAATTTTATTTGATGACTTAACTTATAAATGTAAAAACTTCAAATTTTTTTATCTTTATTACCATAAAATGTATTTTAAAACTTTTATTTTAAAAAAATTGTATAAAAATCCAACATTTTGGTTGTCTCCGTACTTTAGAGAGTTATTATTGAAAGTAATAACAAACCTCACAGTATAGCAAGCCAAATTGGTATATTATCAGTAAATAAATATTATCTTTTCTCATAAATAATAATCGAAACTATTAACAACAAACACATGCGTGATACACGTAAATACGCGCAGACCAACACATTGCATGATTGCATGAAGTCGGTTGAGGTTTCGTTGCGTTCGAATCGAACACAGTCACTACAACTGCTGAACCTGGCGCTTATAACCTTACACCGTCTCGCTGCCGTGTCATTTAAATTTAATAAAACTAATTATTATAGTGTATATAAATTAGTTCTTGATCATCAAACAACAAAAATGGGTTTAAATGAAGCTCTTGATCTGAACACGTTGACTGAAACCTTTGCGTTACTTCTTTTTTTTGTGGATACCATTCATTTTGAAATTCGCTGACCAATTATAATACGTGACGTCAATTCTTCTCTTGCTTTCACTAAAGTTTATTAAGTAAAATTTAAATAAGACTTGTTATTACGTGCTATGCATAAACCCTCAAACCCGTATATATACTTATGTTGTAATGGTTCTTTTATTTACACGGAGAAGACAAAACAACGAAACACAAAGCTGATTTATTTAACAAACTTGTATCATTCATGTTCAGAAAAAATAGTTGTGATCTACTGTAGACCAGAGGTAAATAATATGCGAGAGGCACTTGAACATGCAGTTGTTTATGCATGTCTGTCTTTTCTGTCTACTTTCAAGGCATAATAGATGGGTAGGTGGATTAATAATGACATGCAATTTTTTTGTATATGGGCAAACACAAACCACATCCAATATTTTAAATGCTACCATGCGTTTAAACCGTCCAAACCACCACCAGCGAGTTAATGGTTAATCTATAGGCATGGGTAGGTAGGCAGGTACGCTCAACTTCAAATAGAATCAATACTTACACTAAGCAAACTACTTGAGCTAATTAAATCAACAACCATTAAATTGATTTAAAATTCAGTGCGATTTTAATACAAACGCTAGTCATCGGTTGCAGCCAGGGGCTCTGATTAACGATTATTTTTCATACGTTCGTAATAGTTCATTCAACCGCTATCATTATAGAGAATAAATTTGATTGTGTGTTCGTGTTTTTTTTACGAAATAAATTATGCGTTTGTTCGTTTGTTCGTCTATCTGTGTGTGCGCTTGTTTAAAAAGTTTTTTATTGTTGTTACTCGCGTATACTATTAAAACACTTGCTTGAAAAGAAACTGTGGAATGTGTTCGCATCATACGTAATTCTTTTCATAATTATTACACAGTCTAGTCAACGAACTATGGTTTAGTTGAAAAAAATAAAATAGTTGTTGTGGGATGTGCATATGTTTGAAGAAGAGGAACACATGTGAACAGATCTTGCATTTTATATATCTTCTTCCTAAAGTACATACCACACACACACACACACACACACACACACACACACACACACACACACACACACACACACACACACACACACACACACACTCACTCACTCACTCAATAGCACAAGTATAGTAAGCAATAATGAAATACAGCATGTAATCGGAAACAGGGCAAAAATTTTCAGAATATTTATTAATAGCCTGCATTGTCATCGATCTCACCTGAAATTCACGTGAACTTCTACTACTACTAATACTACCGCAACCAATACTACCACCACTACAACTACTACTACTACTACTACTACTACTACAACAACTACTACTACTACTACTACTACTACTACTACTACTACTACTATTGCTGCTACTACTACTACTACAACTACTACTACTACAACTACTACTACTACTACTACTACTACTACTACTACTACTACAACTACTACTACTACTACTACAACTACTACTACTACTACTACTACTACTACTACTACTACTACTATTGCTACTGCTACTACTACTACTACTACTACTACTACTACTACTACTGCTGCTACTACTACTACTACTACTACAACTACTACTACTACTACTACTACTACTACTACTATTACTACTACTACTACTACTACTTACTACTACTACTACTACTGCTACTACTACTACTACTACTACTACCAATGTTACTACAGATGTTAAACGAATAAGACGTTTAAAATTTTGAAAACTGGTCTGTGTGCTTATCATTGCTTTCATATTTATCATGTTTTATTATTACTATAACGATTACTGCATAAGCAATGCTGGCCATATAATCTTAGTATAATATAGTGATCATTATCTTATAATGCTATATACATTTATATAAGCCTTATACGTGCGTGCGCTAACAAGAAGAACAGATGAAATATTGATATATATAGTGGTCGTGCTCTATACTGGATCATTTATTAATGTTATTTAGCGTTGGATTTTGTTTGTTGGCGAAATATTGGATTTTAGAAATTGTTATATAAATTATTTTCTATTAAATATATTTTGTTCTTTACCAGTCTAAAATTTTTAGATAATTTCTTCTTATATCAGATATCTATAAAAAAGTTGTTATTTCATTATTATTATTTCTATTATTATCACTGTTATTATTATTATAGTCATTGTTTTTATTGTTATTAGCGTGTGATAAAATTTAACGACTTGAGTAGAAATGTACAACTTTG